TCAAGACAAAGCAAGGACTCTACGAGTGGCTAGTTATGCCGTTTGGTCTCACCAATGCTCCCAGCACCTTCATGAGATTAATGAACCATGCCCTGAGACCATTCATTGGCGTGTTCGTAGTGGTTTATTTCGACGACATACTCATCTACAGTAAAGGTTTGGAAGAGCATCTAGACCACATCAGATCGGTTCTTGATGTTCTTCGCTCTCAATCTCTTTTTGCTAATTTATCTAAATGTTCATTCTGCACTAACGAAATTGTTTTCTTAGGCTTTGTAGTAAGTGCAGGAGGAGTTAAAGTAGATGAAGAGAAGATAAAAGCTATCAAGGAGTGGCCAACCCCCAAGAATATTGGAGAAGTCCGAAGTTTCCATGGTTTAGCAGGATTCTACATGCGTTTTGTTTGTGATTTCAGCACCATAGCCGCGCCCTTAACCGAAGTAATCAAGAAAGACGTGGGGTTCAAGTGGGGAGAGGCGCAAGAACAGGCTTTTACAGCCCTTAAAGAGAAGCTTATCAATTCGCCCTTACTAGTACTTCCTGATTTTACTAAGACTTTTGAGATTGAATGCGATGCTTCTGGTGTAGGTATTGGAGCAGTTCTTATGCAGGATAAGAAGCCCGTCGCTTACTTCAGCGAAAAGTTAGGAGGTTAAATTATCCCACTTATGACAAGGAGTTATACGCATTGGTTCGAGCTCTCCAGACATGGCAGCATTACCTATGGCCTAAGGAATTTGTCATTCATACCGATCACGAGTCTCTAAAGCACCTCAAGGGTCAGCAGAAGCTTAACAAAAGACATGGGCGATGGATGGAGTTCATTGAGACATTCCCCTACATTGTTAAGTACAAAAAGGTAAAGATAATGTGGTCGCAGACGCATTATCCCGGAGGTACACTCTTATTTCGACTTTAACATCAAAGTTGATTGGATTTGAGCATATTATAGATCTTTATGAATCTCACACTGACTTTTCTGAGAGCTATGCCAAATATCATAAGTTTGCCTGTGAGAAATTTATAGACAGGATGGATACTTGTTCTTCAGTAACCGATTGTGCATACCACGAGGATCCATTCGAGAGTTACTGGTACGAGAAGCTCATGGAGGTGGATTAGCTGGACATTTCGGTGTCACGAAGACACTTCTTGGGCTCCAAGAGCACTTCTACTAGCCGAACATGAAGAAAGACGTTGAGAAAATCTGTTCTAGATGTGTTGTATGTAAGATGGCTAAGAGTAAAGTTCAACCTCACGGTTTGTATACTCCTTTGCCTATTCCTTCTCAACCTTGGACTAATATCTCTATGGATTTTGTAGTTGGCTTACATCGAACCAGAAATGGTAGAGATTCTATTTTTGTAGTTGTTGACAGGTTTAGCAAGATGGCTCACTTCATCGCTAGCCACAAGACAGATGACGCTGTGAATGTAGCTAACTTGTTTTTCAGGGAAGTAGTGAGACTGCATGGAATGCCACAGATTATCGTTTCAGATCGAGACACGAAGTTCTTAGGATATTTTTGGCGAACGCTTTGGGCTAAGCTGGGAACAAAGCTCTCATTCTCGATTATGTGTCATCCTCAGGCCGATGACAGACCGAGGTGGTGAATAGAACGTTGTCCACACTCCTAAGGACTTTGGTGAAAAGTAACCTCAAGACATGGGAAGAGTGTCTGCCTCATGTCGAGTTTGCTTACAATCACGCTAAGCATCCCGCTACTCTCTTTTCTCCTTTTGAAATTGTATATGGGTTTAATCCACAATCACCTCTAGACTTGATCCCTTTGCCTTTAAGTGGAAAATGCAGTTTGAATGGCAAGGAGAAAGCTGAACAGGTCCGAAGAATACATGCTAAGGCTAAGGAGAACATCGAGAAGAAGACAAAGCAGTATGAGAAACATGCCAAAAAAGGACGAAAGGAACTGATTTTCGAAGAAGGAGATCTGGTGTGGATCCATCTGAGGAATGAGCGATTTCCAGCTGAGCGAAAGAACAAGCTGATGCCCAGAGTTGATGGACCATTCACAGTCATCAAAAGAATCAACAACAATGCCTATCAGATTGATCTTCAAGGTAAGTATGATGTTTCTGATACTTTCAATGTTTCTGACTTGCTTCCTTTTGTTGCAGATTCAGATTTGAGGGCAAATCCTTTTCAAGAGGGAGAGGATGATATGATCGTGACCAGCTCAGAGGAGGAGGAACCAGAGGTAGCTGGCAGGATCACTCGTTCCAGAGCTAGAGAGATGGCTAAGGAGGCTCACGCACTCATTGCCACAGAGGACAGTGATCAACTGGAGGCTGGAGCTCACATCTTCAACATCTTTATCTTGAGGAATGAAGAACCCAGTAACAATGACTAGGTAACTTAGGTGATGATTCTGTACTCTTTTCCTTGGTGAGGATTTTGGAAGGCAAGGAGGTTCTTCTCCAAGGTTTTTAACAAGGCAGAAATCATTGCTACGTCGAGTTACTTAGAAGTTGTTACTAATGGGTAATAACGTGCAAAGTCACAATGACTTGTGCACTAGTTGTTTTAGGCGCACCACTTAGGATTTAGAAGGGACGCCTTGCTGTTTTATTTTTAAATCAAACTTCGTGTTGTTTTTATTTCAAACTTCATGTAGTTTTGTATTAGGGCTGCGATTTTCTCTCTTAGTCTATAAATTAGAGAAAATCGCCTAAGTGTTATTCAGTGAAGAATTTTGATCAAACTTTTAACGTGTTCTTCTCTCTTTGATTTCTGAGAACTAAAAACTCTGAAATTCGAATCTCTTAAAACTAATCTGTTTACAAGAGATTATTCTATCCCTCCATTCCATCGAATTCATTCATCATACTTCCATCATCATCCGTTCGATTATCTCACTACTACCACCAACCCATCGAATCGATCTCTCCATCATCACCATCATCGATTCCTTCGCGACGAGCCACACACAACACCATATCGAGTCTTCAACTCGATCCGCCAGCCACCATCGTTTCTCATCGTTTCGACCATCATCATCGAGTCACCACCACCATCATATCGCTGCATCTAATCCTCTTTGCTTCATAGTTGATCACCTAGGATCGTATCAATGTTCAAGAGGGTATGCTACACTATGAAGATCTTGACTTCTGGGATCACCTGATGTGTTGTGGAGTCTTGTCCGGGAGAGGTTGATCTTTTGAGATTTCTATTGGATTATGCTAGAGATCCATGCACATTTGCGGATATTAGGACAGTATTTAGGAATGAAGCAAATTGGAATCTACATATAGCATGTATTTTTAATGTTTTTTTATTGTACGTTTGGATAAAGAGATTAAGAATAATTGTTGATATCATATTTGGCCAAATTGTTGAAGAGAGAGAGCATATGACTTTTGTAGTCATCTGTTAAATTAGCAGATTTGAAGAGTGATACATTTCTACCCCATATTTGATGAATTCTCTAAGAATCATCATGTTTCTTGATACATTATTAGAATAGTCAAACAATTATCTATCTAGAAATAACTAGCTTTAAAAAAAAAAAAATTTTAGGCGAATCGTTCTATAAAATCACTTTAATCTAAATTAAAATAGTTGAAAGTTCCATCACCATAACATAATTAGGAGATTCTAGAAAGAAAGAGGGAAAGAGGGAACGAGATATATATATATATATATATAATTAGAGAGAGAAAAAAAAAGATTAATGGAAACCGATAATGGAATACTTAGATACAAGGTTATATGGCGAGGAAGAAGACAATGATGTGATAAAGAAACATCTGAAGAATAAGAAATACAAAGAAAATGTAGAAATGAGAGGGAACAAGAAGAGGAAGAAGAAATCCGGGAGAAGAAAATGAAAACAAAGCTGAATAAAAAAGAGCCAAGGAAGAAGAAGATCATAAAGAAGAAGAATAACTTTAAGATGTAGACACGAAGGAAAAATAAAAAATAAAAAGACAATAAAGAAGGAAATTGATGAAGAATAGTGAGAATAAAAAACAGGAAGAGTGAGAATAGAAAAATATAATTCGGAGAAGACGAAGATGATGGAAAAGAAGAATGATAAGATAACGAAAAGAAAAAAATAAGATAAAAACAGTCAGAAAAGACAAGAAAGATATGACAAAGACAAAGAAAATAAAAACCATAGGAAGAATAAAAATGCAGATTAGACCAAGACATCGAAGAAGAAGGAGGAGGAAGGTAAGGATTTGGAGATGATGAAAAAAAACTGAAAAAATATGTAGAAGGAATTGAAGATGACAAATGTGATGAATAAGAAGAATAAACTGAATATGATGAAAAAAAGAAAAGAAAAATATGAGGAAAACGATAAACAAAACTAAAAAAATAAGAAGAAAAAGACGAAGCGGAAGAATTTGAGGTTGAAGATAAGATGAAGAAGAAACAAAAGAATATAAGCCAGAGATAACGAAAACGATCAAAAGAAAAATCGGAAGACGAAGACAATCATATACAAAAAAAAAGAATAAGTGTTGAAAAAGACAAAAAATGATAAAGAATAAGTCAAAGTCAAAGACGATTAAGTAGAAGAAGAAACATAAATCAAATATGTTAAAGAAGAAGAAGGAAAACGTGTGAAATAACTGATTAGAATGACACATATTTACGGAAAAAAAAAGAAAGAATTCTGTTGAGGAAGAGATAAAAAAATAGTTAGAAAAAACCTTTTGTAATTATAAATATACGAGTAAATGGTAATGTTCGAATGTCTAACATTGTTCTTATATTTTGGAAGATTTTTTTAAACAAAGTTAATAATTTAATGATGTAATTATTTTATGAAATTCTTGTGCCCGCACAAGGTGCGGACTAATTACCTAGTTATATACACAAGCACTTGATCAAATCAAAGAAACAAATCTACAAAATCTGAAATTGTAAACTCATTTGGTTTAGGCCCAATGAGTATAACAGGCTTAAGATTCACTTAGATAATAATCCTTATCTTTAGCGCAAGGTTTATGAACACGTGACATTCACGCTCGTTTCTAGCAACTCGGACACGAAATCATTGTAACAAAAAAAACTTTCCGTTTGTACAAACAAAAAAAACAACAAACTTTTCATATTTACAAACCAAAGATTAAACTTTAGTACATAATGAAAGAAGTACAGAAAGCTTTATTTATTTTACATACAGTCCTTACCGGTTTGCTATTGTTTTTCAAGTCACAACGGTGTCGTTTATTCCAATTTCACCATGCCACCGCAACCGCAACCGCCTCTACCGCAACCGCTTTTCTGCAACCACTAAAGTCACCTCCACAAGGCCACAACCACCATATTATGCTGCTTTCACCATGTTTCCGCATTCACCGCTACAGCCACCGCCGCAACCGCTAGCGTTTGCTGCTTTCACCATGTTTCCGCATTCACCGCTACAGCCACCGCCGCAACCGCTAGCGTTTGCTGCTTTCACCATGTTTCCGCATTCACCGCTACAGCCACCGCCGCAACCGCTAGCGTTTGCTGCTTTCATCATGCCTCCGCATTCTCCACTACAGCCACCACCGCAACCGCTAGCGTTTGCTGCTTTCATCATGTCTCCACATTCGCCACTACAACCACCACCACAGCCGCTAGCGTTTGCTATTTTCACCATCTCTCCACATTCACCACTACAGCCACTACCGCAACCGCTAGCGATTGCTGCTTTCACCATGTTTCCACATTCACCGCTGCATCCTCCACCGCAGCCACCGCCTTTTTTAGGAGCTATGATAGCAGCTCCTGTCTCCCCATTTGCCTTCACCGTAGAAACAAGTTTAGTCTCTTTGGTTTCCTCTTTTAGTCCATTACTTTTGAGGCTTTCTTGTTGCGCCACTTTGGTTGTGACATTAAACCCGTTGCCTCCTCCTTTCTTCAAAAGGGTATTGATTATGAAAGCAGATACGATACCGGGCAAAACCAACCAATTCTCCTTGGCCTGCATAGAGTCAAATGAGCATGGCAAAGGCAAAAGAAAAAAAAAAGTTACCTTTCTGGTTAAATCAAACTTGCCTCAATGGAACCGAGTCTCAAATCCAACAATCCCACAGCTTCTCCATATGGATGTTTCTTAGAGAATTCCACAAGTGTCATAAAATCTTGATCATTTCCACGGTTTGCGCAGTGTTTTGGCTCATAATCCAGCTTCCTCCCAGAGAAAATTTTCACCTATAAATCAATAAAAAAGCATTTCATCATTGGCATGCATTACATCATCGAAACCAGAAGATTAATCTTATTTAGTTAGAGTGGAATGTCAGAATATACCACTCGAGTACCCAAAAGCTCAAAGAGCGGATTGGCATTCGTTTGGTTAAGTGACCATTTGGAGTCCAACAAAGACCAGAAACTGCCATTACATTCCGCGAGCACACGAGTTTCACCAGAGTCAAGCACACCAATCACTTGTCTTTGAGCAGTGTGATCACCTTTAACTGTTGCTCCATCACTATATAACAAGGTTTGTGTTATCATTAGAGAATGCGTTTCATTTTGCAAGAGAGAGAGAGAGAGAGAGAGAGAGAGAGAGAGAGAGTTGTCTATAAAGCCCATACCTCATTTGGAGTGTGATCACCTCTGCTTGTGTTTCATCAACAACCTGTGTTGAACTCTTAGCCTGACGGGACTTTCTCATGATTGAAAAGAAGCAAGAGTCATTGCACGATGGTCTCGACTCAACCATGTGTAAAACAGATGGACTGCGTGTCGGTGGAGTCAATGAGACAGCCACTCGCAGGCCTATGGGATTTGGATCAGCTTTACCACCACCTTTACTGGGTGTTGTTAACTCCAACCACTTCTCAACAGAGAGTTGAGTAATAACTGGAAACAGAAACTCCTTTAGTGACAAAGAAGCAAAACCTAAGCTTTTAAGCTCCCTCGAAACTGGTATCTTGGACGGTGAAGAGGAAACAAGTTGGAAACGAAGCTCTCCTGTAGGTTCACACTGGAAAAACGCAACTTGCTTTTCTCCAACCTCAGATAAAATGGTCAGTCTACGTTCAGAATCGAAAAGAGAATCAGGCTGGCTTTTACTGAACAAAACCGAGAGCTTTCCTTTATGTCCATCTGGTAAGTTTCTAACCCCAATAATCTCCAAGAGCACCTACAAGATTTTGAAAGGATCACAAGAGAAAAAAGCGGGAAAAAGAGAGGATTTTGTGGATAAAGAAGCTACCTCAACAACTTCCACCTCAGGAAATTGGATTAAGTTCTGTGAATCGTCTTTTACAGTTGGTTCTTTGCTCAAAACATCAGAAGCAAAAGGAGAAGTTGTGACAGGTGCAGGTGTACTGCCTCTATACATTGCACCGGCTTTCCAGTATCTCGTACTAAATGTTTCCTCCCATTGGGCAGTAGTATTAGAAAAACCGGTATCGAGCTTCTTACCTTTTCCTCGGTCAGAATCTGTGTCATCATGCTCCAAGACCTTACCAATGAGCTTCTCCAAATCATTACAGTAAGACACAGGGTGGAGCTGATGCGTGTGCCAGATAAGGTCAACGTCATAAGTCGGAACGCAAAACCGTTTCAATGACCTTTCTCGGTTCGTTTTAATCAGATAGAGAAACCCTTTATACCTAGCAACAGCTTCTTGCAGAAAGATGTCATTGTTTACATGGGATCTCGAAACCTGTGGCAAGTAACATGAAGAATCATCAACAGAATCAGGAAAAAATTCCAAATCAACAAGATCAATGACAAATCTCATTCTCAAGTTACCTGGTGGTAAAATGGGCTTTGCCTCTTTACAGCTAAAACCAGATCATATTTGGTGCATTTCTCAAGAGCCGAAGTTTTTTCAGAGATATGCTCCGAGTCTACCTTCCTCAACTCTAGGTCATAAGGTTCCTCAGGATACAATTTCTTCCACAAATCTTCAGTTTTTGATCTGCAGTTTCCATTCACGGAAGATACAACGCCAGAATTGTCGAGGACTCTCCCGTAAAATTGCACACAGTCAGACTTATACCTCACCTGGATTTAAACATTAAGAGGAAACTATTCAAACATCTCACAACAAAGATATGTTTTTCCTATCAATGAATGGCTAAGAGTGTATAGCGGTTACCGGATTAAGCCTGTGACAATGCCAAATCCATTCACAGTCAAGAGGAGGGATCAAAGGCCCTTCACTAACTGATGCCTCGGAGTATTTGGCAAGCAAAGGCAGCCAACAAGCGTTGTACCTGAAATCACCAAAATCACTTACATTTGAGAATCTTGATCAATTAAGAAGCTATACAAATTTCCACTGATGTAAAACAAACAGAGAATCTACTTCGTTTTAAAGCACCTGGAAGCACCGAAATCACTTAAAGTTCGAAACTTTGAACAGTTAAAGAAGCCATAATCATATAATCACCGAAGAAAGATTCACTGATCTGAAAGAAAGAGAGAATATACTCCGTTCTAACATAACCAAATCTGTTGTTCAAGATTGTTCTTCATGAGATGCAATCACAAGAACCAAATCGAAAAGAAAAAAGGAAAGGAGATTTGACCTGTCGATGGCTTTTTCAAGTGCAGGGCCTTCGTAGAGCCACCGGTTCCTATCAACAGTTGCTAGGAACTGAAGCTGCTGCTTGGCTGCAGCAAATAAGTCAACGCTTATCTCTATCTTCTGAGCTTCAAGCCACTCAACTTCATGATCCTTCTCTTTATCCATCGACTATCAATTTTGCCTTTTGAAACGGATCAAACAAAACTATTAAGTTTACAAACGAATTTGAGCAAATTCAAGAATAAAGAAACCACAAATTTGATCCTTATCTAATCAATTACATAAACCTTATTACATGCAATTGAACAGATACGGAGTAGTAGAACGGAAATCTCACCTCCGATCGCCGGAAATATCACTTCTTCGCCGATGATTTGTTGTCGGAGACTGAGAGACGCTCTGCTACTGCAGATATAGCGACTACTACTTGTGATCACAATATTGACAAGCGAATTAGAAAATGACCAAAATGCCCCTTCAATGTAAAATCTTATATATAATATCTGGAGTGAAACAATAATGACTTCAAGTCTTTGTTCTAGTTGAAACTTGAAAGGAACAGAACTGTAACTAATTCGGATTTCACGTGAAGTTCACGCATCGTTTAACCTTATCCAATGTTCGAAACCGGTTTAAATCACACGGTTATCTTATGTCTTTTAACGGACAGAAGTCACAGAACCATACCGTTCTCAAATGGGTTTGGAGATAAACAGTCTCACCTTGACATATCAGTTATGAGTTGTGTTATTAGATACATAAAATTACTGGATTTGTGAGCAAAGCAAGAATCATGCAGAATTTGTTTGTGCAATGTGAAACCGACGACCTAAACCGGTTATAGCTTCAGCTTGTGCCCTGAGAAGACGCTCTACATGAATCAGAGGGGCACAATGCTAAAGATCAGATCCTACAATTCAATCAGAATGCTTTTGGTGATTAACGTTTTGTTACTCTTTATCAGCAGCCAAAACAAATGTCTATCAATGAGGAATCTATATAAGCTCCTTAGCCTTTGAGACACAATAACGGACAGAGAATCTTCTGAAAATTTTCTCTTATCTTTTCTGAAACAACAACATCAATGGAAAGATATTCTTGTTGAAGAAAATGATCAAGCGATTTTATGACACAATGAAATGTTTATTGGCATTCAAAAGACATGGAGGCAGACAACGATACACAGTTCAATAGTGGACTATTATAGTTTACTATAGCTATGGAAGAAAGAAAGAATGATTCGACGGTATACATTCAACGAAAGATGCTCAGGCTCGATCTCGATTTCAACAGATACTGGCTATGCGTGTTTCACGTAGCGAACAGAGAAGGATTTGCTGTCGCAGTACTCACTTGGACCTCGAGCATCTCCAAGCGACGTTCCAAAAGATCCAACTTCTCATTCAAAGATGCCAATTTGCTCTTTGTGGTCGATTCTGAAAACATACACACAGACATTAATCGAAAGCTTCATGGTTTGATAATCAGTTAAGCTCCAGAGAAAGTTACATCAACACAAAGATCTCTTGTTCTCTCTCTCACTCTCTCTCACCCCATGGATCTAAGAGCATTAAAAAAGTCAAAAGGATCACAAGAAGATAACGCCCCAAACGATTTGGCATCAAACATAAATTCGAACTAAATAAAATCTAATAATCTCAACATAAGAAAGCTGCAATTTTTCATCTAACCCATCACCAAAATCAATCTCCCAATCATCAAGAACCCTTCTTTGACAGAAAAAAACCCTAAAAGTTTCTAAATTTAGCATAGACAGAGAAATTGACGGACTTGAAGCAAGAAACTCCCAAATTTCGAGAAACCTAGCACAGAGAGATCAAGTAAGTTACCGAATTGGACGAGGAATTCGAAGAGACGACGAACATTGAGAGAGATATGTGAGATGAATTCTCGATTCTCCCAATCTGCTTGAACAGCGATTCCTACGTTCACTGCGTTCGTGATCCCTCCTGCTTTCGCCATTTATTAACCACAAACTCTTTAGTTTCCTCTTCTTCAACAGACACAATCACTCACAGATTTCAGATTCTGCAGCTTTTTCTTTTCTTTGTTCGCCCTTTTTCGATTCAATCCAGCTGTGAGAAATGATTGAGTAATCGATTAGAGAACAAGGGTCACCAAAAAGATTCTGAATTTTTATCGTCCTTTTCTTCGCAGGTTGTTTTATGATTGAAGAAAAAGAAGAAGAACTAGTAGATTGTAGAATTAAGTGGGTACTTGATGAAAGAAAGAGACAATAAAGGGGCTAAATTACAATTTTTGGATATGTGAATCAGTGAATGTTATGAAATTTGCATTTGGTGGGCCGGTTCGGTTTGATCCTATATTTTAATCTTTTCGTAGATTGCGTAGTAAGTGTACAATCTTTTTCGTTCTATTCAAATGTCATTATCAATTGAAGATTGAGCAATTCTTGGTTCTTCGTACATATATACTATTACAACCAAAAGAAAAGAAAAGAAAAGAAATACTATTACAACTAATCTTTAGTCTTTGAATTCAAGATAAGTCGTAAGTCAAGTGTTATTTGGTATGCTCATTTAGAAGGGAATCATCAAAGCTCAAATGGATATCTAGAGACACAGATATTAGATTTTAAGGCCAAAGACGTAAACTTTTTTTTAAATCTAATGTTAAATTATATTTTTTAAAAATCACAGTTCTTTATAATTTTTGTGAATGTTTTCAAATGTTAAAAGAAAACCTAAACAATGATTTAACTATTATCTCGTCGCAAATCAAACTTGTAACCATCTTCGTCTCGGTTGTCTCCTGTGTTACGTATCCAACAAAGTTGGTTTCTAATTTCAAAACAAAGACAAATTCTCTAAAAACATATTGATTTTATTTGGCATAGATGTGACATTCCAATTTTCGTTATATGTGAAAAAACTTATAAAAATTGATTTGGCTACATATATCATCAAATACACTTATCTTTTCGGACACTAATCTTAAGAGAAATTCAGAATTAAGTGTGCTTAAAACTAGAGCAATTTCAGAATGAGTGACCTACCGGGAAGTGGTCCGCGATACCATGTGAGTGAGGACAAAGCACGGGGAAAAATCACATGGTGATTGCAGGGACAATAGACAAGTCTTACGAGCTTCCCGGACTAACGCATCGATCGTCGGACAATGATGAGCCAACAGGCTTAGAATATAGATGTTGGACAAACGAACCTACATAGAGGATGTTGGGCCCACAGGCCTAGAGAGAGGCCGTTTGACTCACTGGAAGAGACAGTTGGGGCGTTCAGAATTGTTGATAACCAATCCAGATGAACGGCGGGATTCGAGTCTCATGGATTTGATAGTCGGCCCGTCTGGTTCCCAAAAGGGAAAAAGAGAGTATAGTCTCACAGTTGGTATTAGAGCCTAGGTTAACTAGCCGGTTCTGACCCGGGTCGCATCTTGGGACGTAGTTAAGGAGAATTCGAGGACGAATTCCTTAGAAGTCGGGGAAAATTGTGACATTTCGATTTTTGGTATATGTGAAAAGGCTTATATGAATTGATTTAGCTATCTATGTTATCAAAGTGCACTGGTGATTGCAGGGATAGTACACAAGTCTTACGAGCCTGACTAACGCATTGATCATCGGACAGTGGTGGGTCAATGGGCCTAGAAAAGAGGACGTTGGGCCAACGAGCCTACAGAGAGGATGTTGGACCCACAGGCTTAGAGAAAAGACGTTGGACTCACTAAAAGGGGCAGTTGGAGCGTTCAGAATTGTTGATAGCCAATCCAGATGAAAAACGGAATCGAAATCTTATGAATTTGATGGCCGATCCGTCTAGTTTTTGAAAGAGAAGAAAAGAGCATAGTCTCACAATAGGTATGTGATTCACACTGGATGTACTCCTAGTTTATACTGCAATAGAACAGTGATGTAGTTGTAATATAAAGAATTCGGAATCCAGAGGACCAGTGTTACTCTATGACTTTGCGATAATTGAATTAAAGCTAAGACGAAAGATGGTTTGTTTGTAACGTTAATGACAAGTAAAAACAAGCTAAAAACAATTTCAATTCAAATTTAAAACAAGCACTAGATCAAGGTAATTCGCAGGAGTTTCAGAGATGAGAATCAAATGACTATTCAGGGCACAACTTAAATGCAGGTCTCGAACTCAAACATAAAAGCTTATCGATCCACTGTCGTGATCTCGATAACTTTATCTAACAACCTAAATTCTAAACTGTTGTTTGAACCTAAAAAATTGCAGACAAGCATTAACGAGCAGGTTTGATGTGTTCACGATTTGCCTTAACTTCAACTGTCGTTGGCTAAGGACAAATCGCTCACCAGTGTTTGTTCTAGCAACCTATTACACTTTTGATGAATAGATTAACCTATGAACGTAAATTGAATGGCCAGTTCAACCTAAGCGTTAAGTCTAACAAAGGTGAAGACAATCGATTTTAAACCCTATTTGCATTCAATTCTCTAACTCATGAAATCCTTTGAAAACTTTAATCTAGCTAAGAGATCTACTCAGACATGGAGAAAAGAAACACAGCAACAGATAGAAAGGAATTCATGAATTAAAATCGCAGAAGAGATAATAGGGTTCAGAATTCTTCTCAAAGTGTAGCAGATTTCTTCTCCCAAAAGCTTACAAATAAAAACTCTCTCGTTCAGAAAATTGTAAAAAGAAAGCGTCGAAGTAAAGATAGCCGGCTCTGGACTCTTTTATTCGTTTCACGCGACTTGGAATTAGGTAAAGATGTTTTTCTTATTTTTCTCCCGGCTGGAGCAGGTGCTCCACAGAAGGTCGAAATCGGGAGCAGGTGCTTGCTGAGAAGGTTTCTCCAATTATGTAGGAAATTGATTCTTTTTGCTCAGCTTCATCCCTTTTTGCTCCAATGCCTTTTGGACCATCCAATCCTCAGCTAAAGCCGCCTAGTCATATGAAATAACCTGAAAAAGATTCGAAAGACTCTTAAAAGGATTAGTAAACACATGTTAGAATGAGTCAAAATCTCCACTCATCAGTATGTTTATTTCAGAAATCAGGAATGAGAAATTTTGGAGTATGAACGAACAAATCTTGAAAAACATTATTCAAACAGTTCTCATAACAAAAGAGATTCAAAAATCCGGGTAGCTAAAATCATTTTTCATGCATTTAATAATGTTGTGGGTAAATGATTTGGATAAATTCAGAAAATTTTAAATACTTTTAAATATTCTTTTTGAAAATATTTAAAGTTTTAATCACTAAACGCTAGTCGAGACTTATGGCACTCTCATCTCATTCACGTTCCATTTTGATACCCATTTAAATTAAAATCAATAGTCTCGAACAAGTAATTAGTTTACCAAATCAAAAATATTAACAGAAAATTTAGACAGGTATGTGTGGAGACGTGAAACCTGTCACGGATATTGACATGTCATGCCTAATTGGCTAATTGTGCATGTGGGTCACTTTGATCACTTTGACTACAGTTTGGATGTTTTAACCGAACACAGGCGAGAAAGAAAATTTTCTCACTCAGTTTGACATAAACTCACAAAAAAAAACCTTAAATACAAAGACTAAACCAAGCTATACAAGAAACCAAATTAATACTAAACAAAAAGAAAACATCAAAGCAAATCAATTTGAAAAGAACCCCTTTAATATTTTAGTTGCTATTCACTGAAAACCTAACAAAGGAAAAAATTTAAACTGCCATCAAACCGAAATTTAAATTGAATACCCTACTTAACTATATCTTATGTATCATATGTCTTAGTTATATACTTAAAATCAAATGAGAAAGCTTAAAAGAATACAATCGACAAGCTGCTCCATTGCTTTCCCAGTTTCCTTTATTTTTTGAAACAAACAATTGCTTACCCTTGAGACGATCTTTATTGCACAAAATTATAACCTTTGGTTTGTTCTTCAACATGATGACACTGATCACGCTTTGTCCTGCATGAAGAAAAGTATAAATAAATGTGCTATATCTAAATATATATATGTACGTATGTATGAACTATGAAGGGTTTGAGAATCAAGAACGAACATGTTGTTAATTATACGTTTTATGATCTTAGCTCTTCGATGGGATCTTATAAAGGGGTTGCTCAGGCTGGCTTAGCTGCAGCCTAACCTGTGCATGGGATTCATCGGCTGCATCTTCTAGCTCACGAAGCCCCATTCCATTTGTGCTTGACGCTGCATAAGCCTGCAAGCCATTAATTACCAAAAATATGTCTCAAAAATATGTCTAGGAGATGTTGGAAGGATGTATTATTTTCAACGCAAAGTAATTAATGAAGTTTGCATTCCTATTTTACCTTCTTGTGTAGTTCTACGTTTTCTTGATGAATCCTTTGTATTTTTCTCGACAACGAGGTTTTCATGATGAATAATATTCCTCTGCAAGAGTTGAACCAAAAATAAGAACCTGAAAGAACTAGAATTGGCAACATAGACTGATCATGTGTTTACGTTGTACCTGTGTGTGTTTGCATGTGCAAAAGATTTCATCTTCATAGTTAAAGACAACATATGTATTCAGTTTATTTTTCTATCAAACAAAATGCTTTCCGTAAATAGTATACGCAAAAGTATTTTGTTTGCATTGGAATTTTTTTTGGAGTTATATATATATATATATATATATATATATCACTGGAAATATTGTTTGCAATTCACTTTTTGTTTACAATATGCAAATATTTTATATGGAAAAACTAATATCGTCTTTGTTTGACATGCAAACACAAACACAAACATTTGACGTCTGATTATTCAGAATCTTAATTGATATATATCATATAGTACTGACCTTTCTGGTTTGTTCTTTGATTTCATTGGTCAAAATTTGCTCCTGAAAGGTTCGAAAAACAAAAGTTGATTAGTTTGAATATCATTGCTATATGATCAATCTTTAAACATCATCATGCTCCAAGACAAACGAGCTAGAGTATTCATATATGTATTGTGTAATATATATAAAGAGAGAGATGAAAATTACCTTTTTCACTTTAACAAAAAAAATTACCTTTTTCATACGAATTCCACGTAAACTCATTTCAAGTTGGCTTTCTATAGTGATCAACTCCTTAACGCTCAAACCATTTAATTGCTGTCCCATTAGTTGTCTGCTTCATAACAAAAATTTCATTGTAGATATATACAGAAAATTATTGCCCTTAATAACATCTTCAAAAAAAGTTACAAAGCCAAACATATACATTATAAATTTATTAGGGCCAAAAGTCCATTTTGGTAATGTAGCTGGAGCTTATATATCTATGTATAATAATATGGAGTTTATTAGGGACATAAGATCAGTTGAGATTTTGTGTTTTTTAAATGTATAAATATTATCATTAAAAATAAGGATGGCTACAAGAAGTAGTCAAATGCTAATTGCGCAAAAAATGATCTAAACAAGAATAAAGAGAAAAAAAATTTCTTAGGAATTGCAAGTGAAAGGAGATCAAAATTCATTTATAAAAGACATGAATTAATCCACTAGTTAGCTTTACAGTTTTAAGCAACTACGTACCGATGATTATCCTGCAATGAGTGAAGTTCTTGCCTTAGAGTTGTGACCTCTGTCTGCCAAAACTACAACACGCAACAGAATCAACCTCATCAACTCTCAAAATCTATTGTAATTGAAAAAATATGATTAAGATATTATACGTATAATTGCCTCTCCTCTTGTGAGTTGTGGACTTTTTCCATAGGTATAAGCTTATACGTACCTTAACTTCGGAAGCTGGGTTTGATAGTTGTTGCTGCTCCATCTTGGTCTTGTTAAATCGTTCAATAGCCGATTTCATACTGTTTATTTCAAATTTTCGAAATGTAGTTTATCAAGTAATATTTCTACATATTTCCACTGCTAGTGAAAGAACGGACGACTAAAAAGCTTCATTTCCTTATGAAATTTGCTCAGTCTTCAAAATTGTCATAAAAAATAAGCTTTAAGATTGTTATTACATAAGAAAACAATTCAGTATAAGTCAGGCATATTTCATTCATGAATGGTATTCACCATGATTTAACTGTCATATATATATTAAAAATTAATATATGATAAAAATTGATCTACAAAATAAATATGAAGTATTTACATTTGAAATTCATATATTTTCAACTTAATTTGTTCACGAGTTTCTAGGGCAAGACACATATTGGTAAATCATACTGTACTTGTTTTTGAAGTGCTTTGATAGTATTAGTCAGAATCCATTGGTAAAGATATTTTCCATGAAATATATATGATAGCTCTTACATTTTAAACGTTAAAATCTAATACATAATAGTTCAGTAAATATATTTTTTTAAAAATTCCTGATGAAATAAATTGATACACTAAGATATAGTTAAAAACATACAGAGTCATTTGATCGTTCTGTCATACTATTAAATACACAAGATACTGAGATTTGTATAAATGTCTACAAGTTTGTGGGTGATAACAAACATTTTATTTATCATCTCCAAATGTATCTATGGTGATCATCTTGTACACTCATTTTTATCAGTACTCTTTTAGTTTTCCAACGATGTACTTGTTTTAGCTTTAAGTACTATGTCCTCTTCCCAAATGTTTCTAAATTTGGCACAGTTATACTGCCACTCCATATACCCAATTTACAACCAAACGTAAACACACACATATATACATTATATGATATAGGTAGACACAACGACACACAAATCCACACACAAAAAAAAGCCATGAGCATCCTTCTAATGAATTTCTTCATCTTTAAAACTAGTATACTTCTTAATTTAGTTTTTGTTTGCTTTGGCATCCTCCTCCTTTCGCACTAAGTTTCCTTTCCAAAGAACATTTTTTGGAGCTATATGACACCACCTAGGATGTATATATATTGAAATGAGCAAGATGTACATAACAAATGAGCAGATCACGCAACTAAACATATCCCACTGAATTAACCCAACCCTTCTTAGAACACCCATACATGATATAATATATGTACCTACATATATATAATATGTTCCAAGTAATAATAGATTTACCCATACATATATATATACATGAATACGTATGTATATAGATGATAAAGATCTAGGGATTGAATAAGGAAGAGAGAAACCTGGAGCTGGCAAAGTCATAGAGCTTGTCGGTGTTGGAGAAAATTATGAGACCGATCTCGGCGTCGCAGAGAATAGCGAGTTCTTTAGCTTTCTTAATGAGACCCTTTCTTCTTTTGGAGAAAGTGACTTGCCTACTCGTCGAATCATTGATCCTCTGGATCACAATCTTCCCTCTCCCCATCAATTTTAACCCTATTTTGATCTTCTCTCAATCTTGGTGATCTTCCCCGTTCTAGGGTTTTTCTAGATCTTGGCAAGACCAAGGGAAGATGAAGAAGAACGAATCAGGAGAGAGAGAGAGAGAGAGAGAGAGAGAGAGAGAGAAAGAGAGAGAGAGAGAGAGAGAGAGAGAGAGAGAGAGAGAGAGAGAGAGAGAGAGAGAGAGAGAGAAAAGAGCTCCGAGGAAGTAAGAGTCAACAATCTCTTCGAGGAATAAACAAATATGTTTAGTCTATTTGAGTTGTTGTATTGGTAGATACAACTTGAGGGCCATTTAGTAAAGTACCAACCTAAAGATATGGCATAGTTAGAACACTGAACACATGAGACAGGCAAAAAACCTCATAAATCAAGTACTTATAGGTTATGCAAATTTACGCAGTTTTCATATGCATATTATACACGTTATACAAAAAGGGCACATTTTAATAAGGATTATCTTATCTGGATAAATGATAAATCTATACGTGGTAAGAAAACTGTTCTACAAACCATTCTGAAAATGAAGTAAACCTAGTAAACTTCTTTAATTTTGTCCAAACACTGAACCAAATGCAGAATATAACACAATAAGAATTTAGTGGTTTAATGAATTTTTTCGGAATCAAAGTATATCAAAAATAAAAACAAAACTTAAATCTGAAACGAAATCCAAATCATACGATTTGTATTCACGTATCAATTTTTTTTGTTTGTTTGATAAACTGTGAGAATCCCAGAAATTTGATCCATAATCTCCCCCTTCACGTATCAAACTTTACCAAAATGATATTTGGATCCTATATACTTATATATATATATATATATATATATTCATAAGCAAAAATATTCAAAACCTAAATCAAAACTGATATTTAGTATCGATTTTTTTTCATTATTATTATGAATTAGGTAGATTTAAATCTGGATAGTATATAATACGATGATATTAGCACAAACTACTAATCTAAATGTTTTCGTGAAAAAATCGGATTGGTTATCTCTATTGCAAAATACCTATAAAAAAAGCAATCATGGACTCTGATGGACAACATAATAATCTTAAATAAAAAGGTAAATGGATTTAAGAATTAATATATGCTACAGCTCTTGACAAAAACAAATTAGCATATATAGCTCATATAGCGCATCTTAACAAAATAAAAATTGCCGACAAAAAAATATAAAAATTAAAATTAAAATTGAAATTGAAAGATGACAATATTTTCTTCTATATCAATAAAGCAGCAAAAGTACTTTTCTTTGGGCACGTGTCAGACAGGAACTTGGAGTTACGGACATTCTGTTCTATGTACATATTTAGATCTGTTGCAAGTTTCCAAATATGGCAAAAATATATCAGATAATGAGAAAATTTCTTAATTCGCTTAGAACTTAACTGTACTTAACTAAACTACTTTTTTGGTCGAAAACTAAACTAGTTATGTTGCATAATATCTCTAATATATAGAGAAAGACTTAAGTTACACTGGTCATTGGTGAAGTAGCCTAGTACAAAATCTCCTGAATAAAATATCTCGGTTTTTCAATTTACCTACAATATATAAACCAAAAATCTTTTACGTTTTCTTCGAGTAAACTAACTACAAATGGATTTATGCTTACATTCAATTATTTACCATGAATCCTGTTAGGTGAGCTGGATTCAGTCAAACACCAGACTGGGCCGGAGGCCCACGAGACTTCGCTTTTGGGCCTGCATCTTTAAAGGGCCGTAATCCAATCTCTGATCCAGTTGTGATCTTCTTCTTCACGAGAGCTGCAACAAGAAACAGAGAGTGAGTGATAACAATCTGATATAGAGAGAGAAAGCTGAAATACAGTAGAGAGAGAAAGTGATCAGAGCTTACGGCGTTAAGGCGGTGTTCCGGTGGAAAGATTCCGGTCCCGATCGTCTTCCTCACGTGTTTCTTTGAGCTTGTTTCCATACGATTGTAAATCGCCTTCAAGCATCTCTTTGTAAACGATTCGATAAGTGAAAGCAGTTGAGGGATCCCGTTCCTTTCCCAAAGACGTAGCCATATTGGTGAACTCTGGGTGAACAAAAAATTGTGTTGTTCCTTTGATCGATCTTCAAAGTTATACCTGCGGATTCATTATTCTTAGATTAGAATCTCTACAAGTGGTATCAGAGCTAACCAGGTTGGATAGCTAAGGAGTTCTAGGAATAAAGGCTCGGAATCGGAACTTATCTTTGTTTAAATGTGACAGTCGTATACACGTGGGAGTAGCAGAAACAGCTCCTGAGCTTACGAATTGGGAGATGCTTTCGCACGCTCCTCCTCCTCGGCAATAGATTCTGTACACCTGATCCATTTCTTTATTAAAAATTTCTTTTGTATACATATGTTAGTCTGACAAATATTTTGTTTTCTTCAAAATACCAAAAGTTAGATTAAACATCAAAGACACAAAAGGGTTAAAGAAAGGTAAAGTAAACAGTTTCATGAAGGGAGAAACAAAAGCAACATAGAATATTGATAGATGTTTTTTTGTTTTGTCAAAAGGGTAATATTGACTGATGTTAAAGACAGGAGTTTTGAATTAAACATTGTATTCTTTTAGAGGGCCTTTTAGACCCTCGTTACCGCATCAGTTATGGTTCAAAAATCAAAATAGTCTGTCACCAAACTACAATCTGAAAACACAAGATCACAAAAATTACCGCATCAATAGGCTATTCACTTTTATAGAAATTCAATACCTTAGAGTTTTGGGATGTAACTGCGGTATTACATATTTTTCTGAATTTCAATACTGAAATAAGAACCGAGACCACTAATATTTTCAAGTATTATATCCAAGTCTGATATGTTTGTTATTACGTCACGGCTTGGCTTGCGTATTTATTATTTTCTTTTGTTTGTAACTATGTTCTTGATTGGCTATAGAATCACCGGTCTGCTACAAACTTATGTGATGCCATATCTTTAACTTCGCAAAAAAAGACTTCATGACAATGGATATGTAATCCGATTGGTTGCTGCTTGCAAGAACGATCTTAATTATGCCAACAGTCAGTTATAACTCTGGTTTCGTAGGCTGTATTCACCACTCCAAGACTAACATGCGCCAAACATAACATAAAACTTTAGTTAGGTTTGCTATTTCTATTTGAATTTCAGTTGTGATAGTTTACTCTTTTGGGATCCTTTGTAACAAAAAAAAAATGTTGTCATATTTTAGGCCTCAATCATTAAAGAAAATCAAGTAAATAACCATCCTTTGATCATACGTACATGTGAAAAAAATATATCATTATTTCTCAAATTTGACGACATGGTGAACATGGTGAAGAACCAGTGACCACGTGGGCATCACTGTTTTTGTTTTCAACCAATCAGATCTCGAGTCTCCAACAACATCATATCCGATATCTTTAATTTTTCTCTTTTATGTTAATCCTTTAAAAAAGACTTTTTTTTTTTTTTTTGTCGACCTTTAAAAAAGACTTAAAAGAAAACAAAAAGGCTATACTTGCCAGATAGTTCGAAAATTGCATTGACATGATCTTAATCATTGATCTACTTAGAACTGTAAATACATACTACATTCGAGATTTATGAAGTTCATATGAAAGAGAATAGAAAAAAAATGTTGATTAGGGCCGATGATAATATTGTTAAAAGTAATTCACGAAGACCTCATCTACATCATTATCCCCTTAATTTGATGCTTTTTTATCCAAATAATCCATATAGTTAAAATTAGATTTTATGAGGTCAGATTACTTAATTGAAACTTGGAATATGAGTCCTTGGAACTTGAACACTGGTTGTAATTGTACTATATATTCCAAGGTTGTTGGCCATGAGCTCATTAAATAAATTCATTAACAGTTACTAATATCTTAATTTATCGAACGTATAAGCACTTGAAACTAATTTATTATCCATTTATAAGAGTTACTGACGTATCAGTAACTTTATAATACTACTATATGTGTATACTAGAATAATAAACATTGACTAAAACAATGTCACTAATCTAAGATTTCATCATACATTCATACGACTATAATCGATTAATCTATACTCTTAGTCTATTCAGAATTGAAAAGTAGATTAATATTTTCAATTTTTAACAACAACATTAATACTTATAACGTTTCATAAATCCAAATATACTAAGACTTGATTCACCAAGCTTCCACTACAAGAAAGATCGGCTTTTACGTCGGCAGATATCGACGTAAATTCGACGTAAAAGAACATTTACGTCGAATTAACGACGAATTACAATTCGTCGTAAAACGATCGTCGTAAAACCCAAATCGTCGTAAAATCGTTGTAAAATTACCAACTCCGGAAAATCGTCGTAAAATCGTCGGAAACAATTCGTCGTAAATGCGACGTAAAATTTCCAACGGATGTACAACGAAATAACTCCATCATAAGAACGACGTAAAATCGATGTAAAATTACATCGATTTAACAACGATTAGGTGACGAAGAATTTCAATTAAGGGAAAAATAAATTTTTAATTATCGATGTTAAATCGTCGTAAATTTTCGACGAAAATCCGACGTAAAGATATTCGTCGTAAATTCGTCGTTAAATTTTTCGACGTTAGATCGACGTAAATTTACGACGAATTTACGTCGATTAATTCGATTTAATTCGATTTTAATAAATTAATTATTTAATTCGATTTTAATTTAATTAATGAATTTTTTAAATAATAAAAAAATTAAAAATAGAAAAAATTTGAAATTTAAATTCAAAAATAATTTATAAATAAAATTACTACAAATTGTTTTTTACAAAAACCTAATCTATACAAAGTCGTAATCGTCGAGGTTGAGATCGACGTCACGAGGAAGCTCTCCGTCTTGGCCGCCCGTCGCTGCTGGACCGACGTTTTCCGTCTGCATTACCGGAGCCGAAGACTGACCGCCCGTCACTGCTGGGACCGGAGCCGAAGTCTGACCGCCCTGCGTCTGCGGGTCCGAGGGTCCAGTA